CCTGGCCCAGAGCCACCCACAAACAGCTCCTGCTGCTCCTGCCTTGCTGACCTGTGCCTGGCATTCCTGTTCCCAGCTCTGCTGGCAGGGCTGCTCAGCAACCTCAGCAGCACAAGTGGGGTTGGCTGGAGGAATGGAAAATGCTGGTTATAAACAGCCAGCCTGGCAGGATCTGGGAGCGTGTCCTTAATCCCAGCCCCATTCTTAATCCCACAGGAGGTGGAATGCCAGGCTCGCTCTGCTCTCTTGATCTAAATGTAAACATTCAGCCTCTCACAAGCTGGTTTGAGTCACACTTAGATATTATTCATGTCTTAGTCCAGGATAAAATATGTTACTGTGTGAGTGAGAAAATCCTTCCAGGGCCCTTCCAGCTGGCACCTGCTGGCAGAGCCCTGCACAGGGATGTGCTGAGCCATGCCCTCCTTCCCAGGGAACCGGGCCCCTCTGCCAGGTGGGCTCAGGTCAAGCTGAATTGCTCTGTGCTCTGGGTTTTGCTGTGCCAGTCCCTGGAGCTGGGACAGCCCTTCTGAGGATCCCAGTGCCCTCCTAGGGGCTACTGAGTGGTGATATCATTTTCCACATCATCTGTAAAGACTCTGTGATCCTGTATTTTGTCCCACTGACTACAGCCTATCCCTGGCTTTCTGCATCTTCCATGGAAGTGCTTTTTAACTTTCATTCTGGAAACACAAGCCAAAGTCAACTGGAAACCTTTACTGGCAAGTCAGCCTGTTAATGATCTCCTCTGTGGGAACTGAGGGTGTAAATGGGTGGTTTAAGGGCCCTGACCCTGACTGGGATCATTATTATTCCCAGGTGATCCTGCTGTGTCATGGGCACAGTTAATGGTATGATAACCTCTTGCTGGGGCAGTGCATGATCTATCAAAGAGCACCAGGAACCAGCAGCAGCTTTGGTTCAGAAGTAACTTCAGCCCAATTTACTGCCAGTCAGTGTGAGAAATGTAAAGACTGAAAGGAATAAACATTGTGGACATTAAATGTAAAGAATCCATCTGAAGAGAAATGACATTGCTTTTTTCCATAAATGTTTAGTAATTATTAAAGAACTAATGCAACCTAATATTTTTTTCACAGTATTGTATTGCTTTTACAGTATCCATAAAAGTGGCATAGGTAAGGACAGATAAGACCCATCACAGGTTGTTGCCCTGTGTTCCGAGAATCGGGGTAATTACTCAGTTCTTTGGGCATTCCAAGCTTCCTTATCTCAGCATCCCAGTGGCCTGATGCTAATCACAGGAGTGCCCTGCAAACCTTTAGCAGGAGGAGCCTCTCCACCTGCACTGCTGGGCTGAGAGAGACCCCCAAGCACCCGATGGGGCCACGTGCTGCTCCTGTGTCCCAGGTGCTGGTGCCGTGTCCCCAGGTGCTGCTCCTGTGTCCTGGGGTGGCCCTGCTGTGCTTTTCCCCCTCTCTACAGCCTCACCCTCGGACACAGCCCCTGCTTGCTCCCCACTCTCCTCCCATGGCTGCAGGGATGTGTTGGGCTGTACCTGGGGAATGTTTCTCACTGGGTGACTGAGCTGCTGCTGAGCTGGACCAGGGACTGGTCACTGCCAGCATCCCCTGGTCTCTGGCTCAGGACCAGCTCAGATGCACATCGAGTGGATTCAAAAAGCTTGAGTGAAAAGTGGGGGGTTATGAGATGATTGGTTTCTAATTTGTATTTTCAGTGCTAATTCTCCATCGCAGTAACACAGACCCACCTACAAGGTGCTGTAAAGGTGGAGCTGGTGCAGAGCTGGGAATTCAAGGACAGGGATCTTTGCCCTTAGCTTTGCAATGCCCTAAAAACCTCAGAGATAAACACAGCCAAGTGAGGCCCCTGAGCAGGGCTCCTGCTCCCTGCTGTGCCCCTGTGCTCAGACCTGACTTTGCTGGGGGTTCAGGTGGGGGTGGCTGAAGGAACCCAGCGGGTTTGGTGTTCCCCATCCCAGGGAACCAGGCTGGACTTGTACCCAAACGTGCTGAATGGGCTGCAGCTTTTCTGCTGCGTATTTCCTGTTGTTCTTTAATAACACTATTCCTGGAACTGGGGTGACTTCAGTTGTGATACCAAGCAACAACACAACCTTAGCTCTCAAGGGCTGGGAGCCAGTGCCCTTTTGGGATCTTTTTCCCCTTGCAGTTCTGGCACCAGTTTTCATTTCCAGCTCCCTTTGCTTCTGCAGAGTGAGGGGACACCAGCAGCTTTCTGAACAGAAAACTCGGTGCCTGAGTAGCAAGGAGAAAAGGAAACAGTGACAATGGGTCTGGCAAACGTGGAGAAGGAAAGATTATGTCCAGTAAAGCCCCTAAACTCTGAGATGAGCAAGTTTCACCTTTCGCAGAAAAAGAAGCAACATTTCAAAATAATGGGGGGAGCCCCAGACCACTTCAGTGGAATTGATCAGTTGGCAAACCTTGCAAAGATAAACCACTCTGCTGATGCTGCCTCTGCTCTCAGTGGAGTTCAGAGGGAGCTGACAGTGTCCTGCTCCTTTCCCAAGCCCAGCTGGAGTGCAGGGCAGTGTGGCTGCACCATCCCTGCTGGCTCCACACGGACCTGCCCAGCACTCGGAGCCCTCCTTGCTCTCCATCCCAGCAGGAAGCTGAAGGCACAGCAGGGCCATAAGGAGCTGGAAATGCTGGCCCAAGAGAGCCCTGGGGTTGGAGGCCCCAGCCTGGGACATGCTGGTTTGGGGCCAAAATGGTCGTGAGGCAAATGGGGAGTTTTGAAAACAAAGACTGTGCTCTGCCAGGTCTCGGTGGGCCCTGGAGCAGCAGGCTGGCTCCCTGGAAAAGCCAGAAGGAGGTTACAGTGACCCCAGCACCTCGCTGTGGCTTCTGGCAGCTGCTGCTCCCCAGGGCTGGGGCTAACCCTGCCTGACTCAGGAGCCCTCTGCCACCTCTGCTGCCCTGGGCTCCTCTGGGGCTCTGCTGCTTTGTGTGGGATAACCAGGCCTCGAGGCACAGACGTTTCTAGGGCTAAAGACAGGATTTAATAAGAGACGTTTCTGGGAAAGCTGGTTTTTTTCTCATTTGCTTTTTTGTTGTTCTCATTCTCTGGCTGAGTTTATAAACCCAGGAAATGGCACCTGGCAGATGCTTTGTGAGGGAAATGAGGTCTGAGGTGAGGGACCTACGGGCACTGGGCACCTCTGCATGGCAGCAGCTGAACACACAGGAGCAGAGCTCATGGGGGACAAGAGGCCCAGGTGCAGCTACAAGGGGAGGAAAGAAAAAATCCTGATAATTTAAACAAGGGACCATCTGAGAGCTACAAATCCAGTCATGGGGATAGGACAGGGATAGCTCAGAGTGATTCAGGTTCCAGCAGCACGCGGCTTAGTGAGCATGGGGTGCTAAGGAATTTAGAGCACATTAGGGATTGTGCCTCTTCCTGGGAGGAAGGCTAATCCCTGAGCACCCTCCCAGACACAGAAACAGGGCCCTGGAGAAATCCAGGGGAGGTTAAAGGCCTGGTAATCCCCCTGGGGAAAACAGACCAGCTCCAAAACAGCAGGTCCCCAGGAGGGCAGGAGGCAGTGAATGAATTCTGATAAACCACTTTCTGTCCCACAGGCCTGTTTGAGTGAACTGCCACAGGGAGCAGCCCTGGCTTGAACTCCCAGCTGCAATTTCCCCCTTATCTTCCCCCTTATCTCTAGTGCTGACGATCATCTTCTGACAGATGTGGTAACTGCAGCCCCTCGGCACAAAGAGAAACAGGCTGGACAGCTCTGTCATTTGAGCCATTTTTCTGCAGCCCTGGGATCTCAGCCTCCATTTCTCCATCCTCCCCATTTGGGGATATTCTCCACGTGCCACCACCACAGTGAAGTGGGACGTGCCATATTCACCTCAGCTATGTGACAGATGACAGAAATCACCTTTAATCCCTTACCACACACTGCACAGCCTTGTGGCACCTCTGGTGCCTGGAGGGCCTGGTGCCCAGAAAGATGGTATTGATTCTTTATCCTATATCCTGGAACCATTCCATGTGTCCTGGTTTTAAATCTGCACCATGAGGTACAAAGTCAAATTTGCTGGAGAGGCCCAGTTACAAGGGATTACTTTTCCTTATTGTTCTTCCCTCTCCCTTGGTGCTGTTGCAGGCAGTGGGTGATGGACACAAATGGAGTGGGCGCTGTGCAGGGACCTGAGTTTAAGGTGAAATCACCCAGAGTCGTGCTGGGCCCTGCTCTCTCCCTGTCCCCTCGTCCCCTGGCTGTACTCGGGGCTGTTCTTCACACCCAGCGCTGTCGTGCTCTATGTGCCACCTCCTCTCTCAGCTCCGCACCAGCCGTGCCCCGGCGCTGTCCGTGCCCCGCGGTGGCACTTGGCCATCACAGCCTCTCTGTGACCGCAGCCGGCGCTGGCCCCTGTCATCCTCACACCTGGCTTTTGTAATCGAGCATTCCCTCTCGTGCCAAGATACCAGCGGCATTCCCGGGAGCCTCCTGGGACCAGCAGCGGGCACTCGGCCGGGTTCCCTGGGTGCGGGGATCAGCTCCAGGGCACTGCCCGCCGGCCAAGGCTCGCTGCCCAGCCCTTGACACTGTTCCACTGACTCAGCCGAGGCTTGCAGCAGCTGACAGAAATGATAGAAGGCTCTCAAATCCTGAGTGGCAGGGGATGAATAATGGTTGGATTTATTGTTTTGTTCTAAAGGCAGGCGGGCATGCAGTGAAACTAGCAGATGTCAGGTTCAATGTCCACAAAAGGAGGCGTTTTCTTTGCGCCAGGTGCAGCAAAACCGTGCGGGATTCATTATTTCAGGATTTACGGGCTTTACACAGGCTCAAAAGCCAACCAGACAAGACCACGAAAGAGAAATCCATTGAGATCTCCGAGCACAAAGGCACATTGTCGGCTCTGGCCGTGCCTGAGCCATGAGTCACCAGAGGCGGGGAAATGTCTCTACCCGCTTGCTCCGCTCTTTATCCTCAACCCCGGGCAGCGCTGTGGCCCGGCGAGGGCTGGAGGCAGATGGGGCGTGATGGAGCAGTGCTTGAGGGAGCACGGCAGGTCACGCGTGAGCCTCGCATCACCCCGGAGCTGCGCGAGGTGAAAGGCCGGAGCTGCCTCCTCCCCGAGCAGCTCCGCGGGGCGCGCACCCGGCACGGGCAGCTGCGGCAATAAAAGCTATTCCCAGTGCTATCGCTTCCAGGTGTCGTTTGGAGAGGGTGCGATTGCTCTGTTGTGGCTCGGCAGTGCAAAGGTAGGAGCCTTATCAGCGGGATCCGGAGCTGCTCCCGTGAACACACCCGTGCTTTCGGCTCCCGGCGGGGGCAGCCGCCCGTGCCGGGCGCGGCTCCGGGACCTCCCCGAGTCCTGCCCAAAGGTAATTTTATGTCACGGCGTGCCGTGTCCCCCGAGTCTCCCAGGCGAGGCTTTGGGAGGCGTGGGAAGTGCTGCGCTGCGCAGAGATCGTTTCCCGATTGCACACACTTCCCAAAGACACCTGCGGGCGGCCGATAACAGGCGCTGCCTGGAAATAACGCCGCGGCGGCACTTTGGTGTCCAACCAGCGGCTGCCAATGAATCACTGAATCACAGAATAGCTGGGGTGGGACGGAACCACTGGAGATCGTCCAGTCCAGCCCCCTGCCTAGACAGTCACCCGGAGCAGGTGGCACACGAACGTTTTCAGGTGGGTTCGGGATGTCTCCAGAGAGAGAAAAATCCACGACCTCCCTGGGCAGCAAAGAACAGCAAAATGGGAAAAGTGTTCTCCCGCTCTGCTGCCATGTGCCATGGAAAACTCCACTTGTGTCCATCAGAGCTGTCCCTAAAACACCCTTCTGACGGTGCGGGTACCACAGACACCGCTCCAGAGCCAGGGGCTGGCTCCCTGCTCCTGCACAGGCACCTGCTCCGCCTGCCACGGCAGCCGACAGCCCAAGGGTGACCCCGCAAGGCGTTTATCGATCCTGTCCTGGGCTGGCACCAGACAGACCAGTCCGGGATGGGGGAATGGGCATATATGGGTGTTTTGTGTGTTTTGGCATTCTGTGTCCGTCACCATGGCTCGTGTCCCGGGCGGGGGGGTCTCCCGTGTGAGGGGAGGGCGAGGCCCGGCCGGTTCCCAGCCCGGGGGTGCGGCACCACCTCGGGTCACATCACCGTGCCCGGGTCCCGCCGCTGTCGCCGGGCAGCGGGGGCGGAGCGCTGGCCCCGGCCCGCAGCCGGCCCGGAGCGGAGCGGGGCGGCCCC